TGAGCTTCCCGGGGCTCATCGGTGGAAAACAGCAATGGGAAAAACAGATAAGCTCCACATTCTAGAAGTTCTGAGTCATAAAACATAGGCATGAAATGTCCTCAGTGACCAGAGTTCACAGGCAGTGCATAGGCTCCCAAAACCATCACAAGGTCATTGTGTTTCTTGTGAGATAATCCTGTTTTTCGTGGAGGATTGTGATAAGGTTGGGAATTGGTTATATGAAAGCAAAGGCAGAAGAAAATCTTTAGTTGAGGGTTGAAAACCAATCTCTGCTCTGCTCTGCTTGTGGTTGTCATCCATTTGTAGCCCAGAAACTTTTCCTACTAATCCATTCCCTTCCCACTGCAGGTGGAGAGATCCTGGCTGAGGTGAGAAACTCGTTTCAAATCTCATAGACTTGTGCGCTCTCCTCGCGCATTGCAGAAGAGCCTTAAAAATTACACTGGCTCCAAGATACCTCCAAACCAGGAGGGAGCTGCTAAAGCTGATTTGTTTTTCTGTCTGTTGAAGCAAATATTTGCAAGAGGACAAACCCCTAATGTCTGGTTGAACAGATTCTTTCACATTGAGTGCAATTTGCAAACCATAAGGAGGTTGGTTGGGACTAAATAAATAAAGTCCATTGGATAATGTCCCGTAAGTTCAACAAATTGAAACCTCTGAGTCTATTGTGGGGAAGAAGAAGAAGAGGAAGGACCAGAACATGACAATGTGAAGGATACTGCTATGGCATACAAGTGGATCCCTGTGGGAATGCAGCTCACAGGAATCATGGAATCATTAAGGCTGGAAAAGATATTCAAGATCATCAAGTCCAACTTTCAACCAAATACCACCATGCCCATTAAACCATGTCACCAAATGCCACATCTACTCATTTTTTGACCACTTCCAGGAATGGTTACTCCACCATTTCCCTGGGGAGCCCATTCCAAGGAACTGAATACCTCAGCAGTTGAAGCAGCAAGCCCTGGGTTTTGCCTGGAGAGATCCCATTGCTCCAGTTGTTGCTCCAGCCTTGTACCACGTCCCGTGGATGCCGAAGGAGTGAGCCGTGCTGCTTCCGTGCATCACGTGGCACAGGCTCATCGCGGCTGGATGACAAGATTTATCTGCAGGCGAGTCCTCCCCTAACACCAGCAATGTACCTCACATTAGGATGAAATGTGTATTAGTTGTTTTCATCCTCCCCCAAACCAATACAGCTGGTTTTGTTTCCTGCTCCAACCGTCTGGAAAGGGTGTGTGCCGGGCAGCTGGGAACAGGGGGACACGGGGCCAATGGAAAGACAAGTGCACCCCAGCACTTTGTCCCTTCAGTTTGGAGTGACCTCAGGGAAGGTTCTCCAGCTGCGAGCTTCTCCCTGGAAGAGTTTATCCAAGCAGGTTTTATCTCACCCCTTCGCTTTTCCATACTTTTCCTCCTGCAGCCAGGATTCTCGTGGCTTTAATTTCTCAGTTGGGTGGGAAGAGGCACAAACTCAGAACATCTTTTTTTAATAATACCCACTATCTTTCAAGGCATTACCTGCAAGCGCAGGCAGACAGTTATTTTATTACCAAAATGATTATAGTTATTAGTGTTACCATGTATTGTAAAAATGAATAGTGGAATTTAACCCAATTGCGATAATATGGAGCAGCAAAGAAATCCAGTTATGTAACGTGGCCTGTTCCTACCCAGGGAGGGGGAACCCTCTGAAATGTTATTTTTCCAGTAGGATGGCTGCTTTCTAATTAAGTTTATTAAGGAATATCAAAAGCATATGGAAGTGGAAATGCCATCGGTTCATCATGAAGCGATTAAGGCTGTTAGAAAGTTAAGAGCCCAGACAGACATTGCTCAAAGCTGGTGCTGAAAAGATAAAATCTACCCCATCTATCTGCACATGGATCCAGTGCCTGGCTTCAGCCAGGCTTGGCTGATACCTTCAAAGCCTTTCTGCCATTCTCCTGGGGATTATTTTCCTGCCAACACACTAAAGTAATCCCAATATTCCCTTGACTGAATCTGGGAAGTTATTAGGAATTTGCCTGCGCGTGTTGGGTTTTTACACTTGATTATCCTATGCAGATCTTTCCTTTAAGGATTTTGCTGCTTGAATAGGTTTGTTCAGCTCGAGCCTAATCCAGCTATAGGACTTGCTCTAATCTAAATAATTCTTCTTAGTTTAAACCTCTTCCTCCTTTCTGCTTAATCAGTCTTTGATGCCACTTCTCATCAGGAGCTTTAACTCCAGCAAGGATTTCACTGAGTTTTTGGTGCCCAGCACACGAGGGGAGCTCTCAGAAACATCTCACCTTTCGGTTGCACCAACACCTCCTACTCTGCTAAAATAGAGACTTTTCCCCTACTTTCCTCCAGCAAACTTCAATTCCTGAGCACATTCAAAGGGTTCCTCCATGCAGAGGTGTTCCAGAGTCCCAGGAGATCTGGAGCTCAGGCTTTGAGATTTCCAAAGCCAGAACAATGTAAGGAAAACAGGTAACACCTGATTAGTTCTGGCCTAAGCAAACTTTGCTTATGTGTGCGTTAATGAGTTGTTTCCACACAGGTAATTTAAGGAAGAAGTGTGTGTGCCAGAAGGGAAGGTGTAGGGATTCCCTGCTGTCCTGTGATTAAGGGTGTTGTACAATTAACCCAGAGCAGCTGCTAATTGCAGCTGCCTTAACGAGCTATCCCTACACACCACAGCCTGTGCCACTCATGGCTCTTCCCTCCTTCCACACCATCCTGTTATTTGCTTCCAGCATTGTTGTGGTTTCATTTATTTGCTGTCTATCTGATGTCAATCTTTAATTAAAGGATGGGGTGCCGCAGCCTTGGCAAAGGGCTGGGGGCTCATGGAGCATCCCTGGCTATGGCTAGGCTCCACGTCTCAGAGCAGGAGCTGCTACCAGGAATATCTGTCTTTGCAATCAGGCTCCGGGTTTATTTATTTGTTGTAGGCAATGTTGTCCAGAAACATCTTGTTTCACAGTTGCCATTTGTCTTAATCACAGCGGATTTCCACACCTCGGCATTCCTGGCAACTGGCGCATTCCCCCCAGAGCGTTCCTGCCTCTCAGCATCTTTTGAGGGAAGTTTCTGCCTTTCCTCCCACGCCGTCTCTCTGTTCAATGTCATGGGGGTGGCTCCAAGACTGTGGATCCTCTACCTCATGCACAAACACCTATTCCTGTCCTACTTTTCCATCCTCCATTCCAGGGAGGAGCAGGGAAGTAGGACACACCTCTACCTGTGATTAAGTGATAAGAGCATTTGTTTTTGGACAAATTTGGTTTGAGTATCATTTACGGTTGGTTTTTGACTGCTTTGGGGATTAACCCTTTGGTTTATCACTTAGAGTTGTTTTCTGGCTGCTGCCAAAGGGTAGATTATGGATTTAAGGATTTTTTACCATTATTGAGCCTTAAAAAGGGATTTGGAAGTCCACAGTCAGCTTTAGGGACAACACACAGTGACTTTGGGCTGCTGTGGCAGAAAATAGTGAAAATGATGATTAGAATTGGTCAGTGAGGCAAAAGAGGTGGAAAAAGCTTTTACCATTTTGGAGCCTTACATTTTTAGGGATGTAAAATGTTTTTCCATCTGTTTGGTGAAATTTGCTGGCTGTCAACGGGTAGGGATTCAAGGACCTGTGTGCCATTCCCAAAACCTGCTCCTGACCAGGGAAACTTCTGTCCCTGCATCTTCCTCAACCAGGAGCCCCCTCAACTCCTCACGTCCATGGAATCAGTGCCATGACTCATGGGATGGGTTTACATTTTTAAGCATAGGAGTGAACTTAAGTACTGAGTTAAGCAGATGCTTAAATTCCAGGATTCTCCCAGGCAAGGGCTGAGATTGTGAATCCTAAAGCCTATTTTCCGACCTCCCCTGCTTTTCTTTCCCGTTCCTGGGTGGTTTTTGTAGGAAAGCAAACTGGAGCTGCAGCTGGAAATGCGGAGCATGGCGGGCTCCTCATCGTGAGGATTCCTGGGCTCGTCCCTCCTTAGGAGCAGCGGGAGGGAGGGAAATGGGAATAACATGCAAATGAGATGATGCAGGGCCGAGCCTGCCCCAGGACGGCACCACGCAGACTATTTATTTCAGATCCCCCTTTGCCATGGCAACTCTGGAAGAGGGAAGTGCCCTGGTAAAGCCATTCCTGAGCTTCGCTTCCAGCTGCTCGGAGCTCTATGGTTTTCCATAGGAAACTTTGCTCCAGAGCCCAGCGTTCACTCTGAGTTTTATGTGCTTGCAATTCAGGGGCTGCTCCTGCAGTTCTAAGGGGAGGGGATTTTATTTTGCTTCATTTCATTTTATTGTAATTTAAATTTTATGGTTTTATTTTAATTTTTAATTTTATTTTTCATTTTATTTTTCATTTTATTTTTATTTATTTTATTTTTATATTGTTTTTCTTTTATTTGCACTTTTGTCTTTTTTTTACTAATTTTTCTTTTTTATTTTACTTTTTTATTTTATATTTTTATTTTATTTTTATGATATATTTTATTATTTTATAATTTATCAGAATAGTGTTTGCAAATGGTTCATCTTGCCCTGGGAGAAAAGGGAATAGTATTACTCTATTTTGTTGCCTAAAGTCTGGTTTGGGGACATGCTGAGCTGTAAAAAGTAACCATTTTTGCACCTTCCTCTTCCCTCCGTTGGTGTGGGAGACACATGGAATGCACAAGGTGCTGATGTTCCAGCACTGGAGAAGTTGAGAGCAAGTATCTGCTCTTCCCTCTGCACACCATTCCAGAAGGGAGCTTAAGATCATGGCTCTGAGAATCCCATCCTAGAATCACAGAATATCCTGAGCTGGGAGGGACCCATGAGGATCATCAAGTCCAACTCCTGGCCCTGCACAGGATACCCCAACAATACTCCCTGTCCCTGAGAGCGTTGTCCAAACACTCCACACTCATAGACACAGCCCCCCAAGCAGGTGGCAATAATATATCTCAGACTGGATATTAGGGAAAAATTCTTAGTGGAAAGGGCAGTGGGGGAGTCCCCATCACTGCAGGGATTTAAAAACCAGGTGGATGTGGCACCTGGGGACATGGATCAGTGGTGGCCGTGGCAGTGCTGGGGCGCGGTTGAACTTGATGATCTTGGAGGGCTTTTCCAACCTTAACAATTCTCTGATTTTTTATAAAAGCAAAACTTCTCAAGGTCAAGCCCATCAGGTACAATTTTTGCTTCCAAATCTGCATCCAATCTTTCTCAAATCTCTGTTTTGTTGGGTTTTTTTTTGCTTAAAAAAAGACACTTGGCACTGGCCGAAGTGCTGTTACTCATTTAGCTAAACAAAGCATGTGGCTGTTTGTGTAGATATTATTTCTCTGGAAACATTGGTTTTAGTTAATCACCCTGTGACTTGTATTGGATTCTGTGTTTATACACTCGCCAAAACCTCTTTCTGGGCCTTTATGACATAATTTTGAAGTGTTGAAAAATCAGCTTTTTCTCTGCCTGCGCGGGCTGATAGTTTGGAGCTGGGTTTTTTTTTTTTCCCCTGTGAAGAAAATCTTCATAAACCACCTCATTCTTCAAGTGAAAGAGCAGCTGAAAACAAAAGGAGAAAGGAAGGGAGCTTTTCTTGGCTGGGGAACGAGGTGGCAGCTTCCACTTCGTTTGATAAACCAGAGGGAGAGCGAATAAACCAGAGCCTGGTTTCCATTAGAGCTGTTAAGGAATGATAGAATCACAGAATCATAGAATGATTTGGGTTGGAAGGGGCCTTAAAGGTCATCTTGTTCCATCCAGGACACCTTCCACTATCCCAGGTTGCTCCAAGCCCTGTCCAACCTGGCCTTGGACACTTCCAGGGATGGGGCAGCCACAGCTTCTCTGGGCAACCTGTGCCAGCCCTTCACCACCCTCACAGGGAAGAATTTCTTCCCAATATCCCATCTAAATCTACCCTCCTTCAGCTTCTGATGTGCCCAAAAACACTGGTGCAGATTGCTTGGTGATTCAAGCTCCTCGTGATGAGCAGAGTTGCTACTTCACCATCCTGTGGCATTATTTTATTCCACATAAATGAAACATTCCCTGAAATGCTGCTGGTCCTAAAGTGAACACCTGCTACACGTGAGGGGTGACTGGAGTTATTTTCCAGCCCAAAGCATCACAGTCAGGACTCAGCTCAAAGCTGCAAACCACCAGCAAAGGGAGTTCAGGATTCATCTGTCCCCAGGCTTAAGCCCAAAGTTCAAGGTTTTTTTACTAAAAGGGCTTTAAGAAAACTAATGGGAAGTGGAAATGTTTCCATTACTGCTTCATTTCCATTAAAATAGGGTTTGAAAGTCCACAGGCAGCTTCAGGGGCAGCACACAGGGGCTTTGGGCTGCTGTGCCAGCAAATAGAGTGAAAATGATGATTAGGATCGCTCAACACCGGGGGAAAAGGGGTAGAAAAGCTTTTTACCATTTTGGAGCATTTTCTGCCTTGCAGAAGGTAAAATGCTTTTCCTTCTGTTTGGTGAAATCTGCTTTCAGGGGGGAATTTTGACATTTCCTCCCCCTCTTTTGCCCTTTTTTGCAGTAGCAGGAGGGCTGGCAGGAGCATTCGAGGAACCTCCTTGCTGCCACAAGGTTTTTATATTTTCTTTTTCCACTATGTAACCTTTTAAAAATTCTTCTACCCTTAGAAATATTACGATGTTTCATATTTCCTTGGCCAATCTGGAGCCTTTCTGGAGTTCAAGCTGTTTCTTTGAAGCCACAAAAGGCTAAAATGAAACATAAAGAATTTGCTACCAGAAATGGTGGAAAACTCTCCCTCCTCCGGGATGTTCGCTGTCAGGTTCAGTGGCAAGAAAAGGGGAGGAAAATAAAAAGGCAAAATAACTCTGCATTTGGGTCCCAATAAAAACATAGAATATTAAAGCAAAAGGAAAAAATTGAAAAGGTTTATGAGTTTTTGAAGAAAGGTCAGGCTTTACTGAGTTTCCTCCCAAGAAGGTCTGAATTTAAAAGGGTTGACCAAGAATAAGCTGAGAAACCGGTTTCTGCCTGGTTTTGCTGAGCAAAAGGGGAAAGTTGTGGTGCAGAAGTGCTGACAAATACTATGATTTTTAATTTCCTTGAATTTATTATATTTATCTGTTATTGGCTGGAGATAACACTTTGCTCAGATACACGGTGGGGATGTTGGGATGGGGCTATGGCTGAGTCTCTTTACACCATAATTGAGACCATCTCAAGACATAAATAAATAATTTGGATTAGCAATAAAATACAAGGCCAGGCAAAGTTCAACCCTCTCTCCAGCGCCTTGTAAATCCAACTCCTGGTTGGGAGATGTTGGGATGTCAGATGTGGCAGCTCCATCATGCCCAGTCTGGGGTTGGTGATGGTTTTCCATCCTCAGGCAGAGCCACTCGCCAGCACATTCGTGGCATTCTGGATGTGTAAGGACACGGTCTTGGATGGTGGTTTAATTAGTTTCCAGAGCTCTTTGTATACAAAAAGTGCTAAGGGCCAAATCTGCTCTTAATTACCTTGTTTGGATTTTCCTGGAGCTGGCTTAGGCTGGGATCATGGAGCGGAAGGAAGCTGGCACTCTGTGGATTGCACATATCTAAGGGGTGTTTAGACATGGACACAAATCCACACAATCTTCCTGGGGATGTGGGACTCCAGGCTGGTAAATCCAGGCCATGTCATGGTGTGCGCACACCATGCTTTGCATGAATCATGGAATGGTTTGGGTTGGAAGGGATCTTAAAGCCCATCCTGTTCCACCCCCTGCCATGGGCAGGGACATCTTCCACTAGCCCAGGTTGCTCCAAGCCCTGTCCAACCTGGCCTTGGACACTTCCAGGGATGGGGCAGCCACAGCTTCTCTGGGCAACCTGTGCCAGTGCAGAAAAAGAAGATAAAGGTTCCTTAGTCACGTCCTGAAAGAAATTTCTTTGCTTTTCAATTTCCCAAGTCTTTTCCAGTGCCAGCTGCTCAGGTTCACTGGTGATGTGATGGATGGAAAAAAGAGAAATACCAGTTTAGGGGCAGGATCTGCAACACTTTTTGCCCCAAAGAGTCTGAGGGGGATTTGTTCCTACTTTTATCTGAATCCTCAGTCAGTCTCATCCTTTCTGTCCCTCACCAGTCCATGTGTGTCCCCACACACTGACATGCAGATGCTTTGGGGAGGTGCACTGGCATTTTGGGCAAGTTGTGCCTGGAGGTATTTGTGGAAAGCCTTTGCCTTTCAGGGTGGAACTGATACTGCTTGAAAATAACTCTGGAAAACAGCTGCAGTCTCAGTCTGGGACCTGATTTCAGTTCCACTGTTCCTCCAAACCACAGAAATCCACACGGCAGCTTTGTTTGAGCAGGGACTCCGCTGCTGCAGAGCCTGCCTGGCTCTGCTCCTCCCTGGTTATCAGCTCCCGTGACCTCCATCATCCTCTCACCTGGGGCTCTGACATTCCCAGTGCTCCCTAGCCCAAGTGACACGTCCACCTGCCCCCCAAAGCAACCCAGGAGCACTGGACAGGGGAGACTTGAGGGAGCCCATGTCTGGGATGGGCATGGACTTGCTGTGGAAGGACTTGGGGGCCGGCAGAAAGACCAGGTATGGAAGTGTGCACACACAATGAGGCTTTTGAAGTTGCCCAGGAAATGGCAAACCTGGAATTTCCTAACTTTGCTTTTGCAACTTTAATATTCCTTTAATATTATTGGTGGTGTGTTTACTGGTCTGTGGTGGTTTGTGAAGCAGCATCAATCTCTGGAGCAATGGGGCTGTTGGAGGGAAGGAGGCCTTGGATAAACACCAGTAGTGATGTAGAGTTTGCCACTTTCTGATTTGTCCACGCAGAAACCCACTAGTCTGAGGATTGAACTTCTATGCACTTTAAATGAAGAGTTTATGGGTGGAAATCCTGTCTCCTGAGGCTGCTGCTGCTTTATAAAGGGGCTCAGTTTGGAGATTTTCATGTCTTCAGGAGAAAAAAAAATTAAATCCAATGCATTTTGTTCCTGATCCTCCAAATCAAATCAAATAAACCCGTCTCACATGGAATGGTTTGGGTTGGAAGGGACCTTAAAGCTGAACTCAGTCCAATCCCCTGCCATGGGCAGGGACACCTTCCACTAGACCACATTGCCCCAAGCCTCATCCAACCTGGCCTTGAACATTTCCATGGATGAGGCAGCCACAGCTTCTCTGGGAAACCCATCCCAGTGCAGGGCTCATCTCCCTTCTGGCCCACAAAACCCTAAATGAGCCACATTACACCCAGCACGGTGCATCCCATACGGAGCTTGGGAATCCCCTTTGGGCAAAACATGGCCCAAGGCAATGCAGGACAGGGGGTTCTTGGCTGCTAAAAATGTTTTCTGGGGGAAAATCCTGTGTCAGAGTCTGTAGGTGCCATGGTCCCACCTCTGCACTTTGCTGTGGTGGCGGATCCTGCCAAAGGCTGAGCTGGAGCTCACGCGCTCTCTGCTCCGCCTTCGCTGGCACCCACTCTGTTCTTTTTATGGTTGTTCTTGTGAGCAATCCTGATTTGCACGTTAATATAATATCATGATGATAATCTGGCAGCGGGCAAAGCTGGATGCAGCGTAGGAAAGTTCCTTTGTCTCCTGTTTCCATTTTTCTTGGAAGGGAGGGCAGTGCGAGAGGCGGCGGCCGAGGCACAACGGGCTCAGACCCGCCGGCCAGATTTCTGGATTCAGCAACTGAAAGCAGGGAAGGGGATTTATTCCTGATTGTAGGCTTTGGCTTGGAGGCCACAGTTGTGATAGGTGCTGGCTGGGCTACACCAGGGAGGATTCCCCTCCAGCAGCAGGTACAGCACTGGAGCGGCAGTGCCAGCGGTTGGATCCAGACCCAGGATGGGGAGAAGGATGGAGCAGAGGAATGAGCACAGAAGGAACCCCCACAGCAGGAATTCAGCTCCCCAGCTGTGGCAGTGGCACCCCAAATCCTCACTGGGTCCCTCAAAATACCAGCTGCCGGAGGCAAGGGATGCATGGAGATTCACAGGTTCATTTAGATTAAAATGCTGTAACTGGAAACCCCAAAAAAATCTTGTAAGAGCAGGGATAGAGGTTAGAACAGAAAATCAACTCCTTTTTTTTTCCAGGCTAATTATTTGAAGCCA